GGGAACAGAAAACCAGACACCGCATGTTCTCCCTGGTAAGCGGGAGCGAAACTAAGGATCTGCAAGGACACGGAGAAGGGGCCAATGGACACTGGAGACTCAGCAGGTGGAAGGGGTGGAGGGATAAAAAGAATCAGCCGTCAGGAACCACGTGCACAGGTGGGGGCGGTGGGTGCTCTTAAAGCCCAGACCCAAACGGATGTGTATCCCCCCAGCGACTGAAATTTTAAAAAAGGAAAAATTCTAACCCTGAAACATACAGCCGCTTCCTGTGCTCAGCAGCAGGGCCCGACCGTGCGCGGCGTCCTTCCCCATCGGCCCGCAGGGTGTGCGGGAACCGCGATGAAATTCCTCTTCAGAAATATTAACAAGAGAACTGGTGGAAATTCACTCCACGATACGAGCAAAGTAAGAGCAAACTGTGTATGAAAATGCCAACTTGGAAATAATAAGAAAAATAAGAGAAGGGGAGCTTCCACTCGGTGAGTAGCTCGATGTTACATACATAGAACAGCCACCATTGACTCTAAAATGTGGTCTGCACTAACAAAATCGGCTGCAGCTATTTTCCATCACATACGGCAGCTTTTGAAAAGTATAAAAGAAGTTTATGTTTGCGCTAGAAATATAGGCAGCTTATCCACTAGTTGAAACCATATAGTATTGTCACTAAGCTGATTTTTAAAATTTTTATTATTTTTTATTTTTATTTTTTGAGTTGGAGTCTCACTCGGTGGCCCAGACTGGAGTGCAGTGGCCGCTCCTGGCCACCGCAGCCTTGACCTGCTGGGCTCCGGCGATCCTTCCGCCTCAGCCTTCCGAGTAGCCGGAATTACAGGCATGCACCACCACGCCCGGCTGATTTTTTCGTTTATTGTAGAGATGAGGTCTCGCTGCCCAGGCGGGTCTCGAACCCACAGGCTCAGGCGATCCACTCACCTCAGCCTCCCAAAGGCGCGGGATGACAGGCTGAGCCACCGAGCCCGGCTACTAAGCTGGTTTTTTAAGGACACAAAAATTTTCATTTATTTGGAAAATGCAGACTTCTGTACTGATACACAGTCTCTGCTCTCCCTCATCTGCAGATGGCCAGAATGCCTCGTTATCCTCATCCAGATTTGCGGTTCATAATTCAATGGCCAAAGCAAGCAGGAAGCAGAACACTCTGTCACTACACAGGGATGAGTCTGAGTTCCTGTTCCTTTAGCAGTCTGCGAAGATCCCCAAGCCTGCAGCTTCAGCGTGTTTATCGTCAACTCTATAGCTTCGGCCCTGCCTCCCGCTCCTGTCTGAATTCGTCTTGGGGCTCTTGCCTGCCGTCCTCAGCATGGTCCCAGCCCCCACCCCAGCCTGACCCTCCCCCAACCTCAGCCCCAGCCTCGCCTCAGGCCCTCACTTCCGCTCTGACCCTGACCCCCACCACCACCCCGAGCCTATCCTAGCCACAACCCCAACCCGGATCGGAACCCCTCACCACAATCCCAGTCATAACTCCTGACTCTAACCTTCACCTCTAATCCCACCTCTAACCCTAGCCCATAATCCTTAGGCGTAATTCTAACTCCAAAAAGAAAACACAGGAAAAAAAGCCTTCAGTACACCCAATCGGGCCCTGATCTGTGACACCGGACACCATGGTCGCAGGCATCAGAAGCAAAAATCGATGGGACGGGGTCAAACATACAAAGGTCTGTGCATCAAAGGCCAAGCACTCTGCAAGGTAAGACCAAGTGCTCTGGGGGACGAGGACCAGTGATCTGCAATGCAAGGCCAGTGGCTCTAAGGTCAAAGCCAAGGGCACTGCAGGACAAGGCCACGTGCTCTGCGGGACAGGGCCGACCCCACCTTCCCGTGCTCTGGCAGTGGGGAAAGGAGGGGCCCTGGGAGGTCAGAGTCTCTTTGCAGAAAGTTCCCAGAGGACCAGCATGGGTCCCCATTGGGCTGTCCCCGAAGGGGCGGTTTTCTTCCCCATTCCAGGGACACTTCTTTAAACAGAGGCTTTTATTTATTCTAAAGACGCCGCCCCAGCACCACGCTGACCCTAAGATGCTTCGACACATACAAATGAATTTCATGAGGGAAAACAACCCTCCACTACCTCAGGTGCCTAAGCACC